CCCCCCCCCCCCCCCGGCCATCACTTTCTCAGGAACCTGTCACTGAAGAACTACTTACTGGTCCGGGTCAATTACCATAGCTGCTACGCAGGTGTCGTACAGCAAACCCGGGGCTTCACATATAATAGGAAAACACTATCACTATCCAACTCAGTTAGTGCTCGAATTCTGACACATAGTCTTAATGGCACACTCAACTGTTTCTGCAAGCAGGCAGTGTCACCAATCTCAATATACGATATCCACATCAGTTTCGTTTGTCACCATACTCTAGTATCTCCTGCTGATGCATAAAGCTTGCGGCTTTTGGTGGCGCAGGAGCCCACGAGTAACTGATGCTTCTTTAATTCCAATAAATTGGTTTACTTCGCCGGGATGGACTAGGCAGAACCTTTCTTTGGTTTTCCTGTTCCCTCCCTGTTTGAGGAGAGTAAACGTTCTCCCCTAGTAAAGTCACACAACAGGCACAAATATTTCTAAAGGAGCACCCTGGGCCACGGAGTGAGTTAGTATCTCAGTAAAACTACAGAAATACACAGGGTGAAGACAGCAGCCCGCCCCGTCCCACCGCGCCGCGCGCCGAGCCCGCCGCTATCCCGGACACGGCGCCCGCCCAAGCTTGCTCCGGCCGCGGCTACCGCCAGCGCCTTCGCAGCAGGACACCGGTTCTCACCGGCTGCCTTCGCCGTCCGCGCCCGGCTCGGGTTGTCTCCGTCCACTGTTCCTCAGGACCATCGCGACGCTTCTGAGTTCCCTCTGGCTTTGGGGAGAATTTGGCGCGCTCTCACGTGCTCTCGCGAGACTACAGCTCCGGCCAATGAGAAGGCGTAGCCTCGGGCTGACGTAGCCGGGGCCCGCCCCGCCACGCCCCTCGGCTCTCCAATCCTCAGCGGAGCGCGGATTGTCGGTCGCAGGGACCGAGGGAAAATAGTGGGCAGGCTGGCCGTGCGCGTGGCGGGACGGCCGGGCTCTCTGAGGGCGGAGGTAGGGCAGGAAATGTCAGGCTGTCCCCGCCCTGTGCCCCGTGTCCCGGGCCGGGTGCCCGACTGCCTAGCTGTTGGGTGGGCGCCCGGGACGGACTCAGAGTCGGGACCGCGATGGCACCTGCCGCGTCAAGGCTGCGGGTGGAATCCGAGCTCGGGTCGCTTCCCAGGCGAGCGCTCGCCCAGTACTTGCTGTTCCTAAAGCTCTATCCTGTGCTCACCAAAGCAGTCAGCAGGTGGGCGCGTACTGGGAAGAGGAGTGGAAAGGAGGGGTGTCGACAGGGGAGACGCTATGCAGGGGAGGGTAAGAGAAGGGGCGCCAGCAGACCAAGCAGTTCCGATACAACCCATGCAGTGGTTCTCAGCCTGGAGGTCGGGAACCCCTTGAAGGTTGAGCTATCTTTCCACAGAGGTCGCACATCAGAGATCCTGTATATCAGATATTTACGTTACGATTCGTAACAGTAGCAGCATTACAGTTTAGAAGTAGCGACGAAAGTAACTTTATGGTTGGGGGCGGGTCACCACACCATGAGGAACTGTATTAAAGGGTCGCAGCGTTAAGAAGGTTGAGAACCACTGCAGTGGAGGAATGTGGGTACCAAAGGCAGAGATCAGCATGAAGGTGCGCCCGGTTCTGCTTAGCCGGTAAATGTTGTTTTTGTTTTGTTTTGTTTGGGGTCCCAAGCATTAGCCTTTGCAGTCTGAAAGTTGTGAAGAGCCACGAGTCAGGGACACATTCCAACCCCGAGCAACCAGTGCACTCTTGCTGGTGAACTCTGCTCTTTGATCTACACCGTTCGATTTCTTAACCAGATATCCCTGTTTCTGTTAGTTTTTATTAGTGAACTTTATAGGTCTGTTCTTTATTAACTTAGCCTTTCGTAAGTGTGTACAGAGTGTTTCCTGTGTTCCGGACACATAGCTGTGATCAAAACAGGCGCACAGTCTTTTTTTTTCTCTCGGAGCTGAGAAGAGCTAGATCATCCTCCCAATCAAAAAGGCAGATAAATGTACAACTTAGAGCAGTTAGGGAAATTTCCCCTGTGTTGTTGACGTTGGTCAGAAGTACAGAGAAGGGAAGCAGTTGTTTACAGGGCATAGTAAGTGCAAAAGTTCTGAGGGAAGAAGGCAGGGCGTGAAGAGAAGGACTCTGATGGAGAAAATGGAACGGGAGAGTAGATAGGAAGAGGTAACCAAGGGTCAAGTCAAGAGGGTCCTTACGATCCGGACGAAGTGTTGGATTTTATAGCTTTTAGGAGACAGCTGATAGACCTGTGGTGGTTAATGCTAGTTGTCAACTTGATAAACTTTAGGAACTCATCATGCCTGAGGGGATTATCTTGATTACCTTAATTGAGCTGGAAGATCTGCCCACTAGGGGTGCCACCATTCCTGGTTGGTGTCTTTGTAAGTGGAAAAAGGGAGCTAGCTGAGCAGTGTACCTTTTCTCTCTGTTTTTTGATTGTGGGTGTGATGTGAGGAGATGCTTCAGCCTCATGCTGCCTTGGCTTTCCTGCAGTGATGGACTTTAACTGGGAGCTGAAATAACCATTGCTCTCTTAAGTTGCCTTTGTCGTTTTTTTTTTTTTTTTTAAATCACAGCAACATAAAAAGAAACTAACACAAGACCCATCCTTTTTAAGAAGCAACTGGTCCTGTCTTCTTACTGAGAATTTAAAATTTTACTTCAGGTGTGTAAAATCTACACACAAGTACTATAGAAGTATTTTGTGGGGGGAAGGAAAAATCTCTGGTGATTTCTGTCCCATTTCAAATGTTTACTAAAAAACTACAACATAGAGTTATCAGCTCGAATACAGCCCACAGACCACCAGACCACAGTCAACTATGGAAATGCCCTCTTGAGGATCCCTCCTATTGCCTTTTACACCCGTGCCTTCAATGGAGCAGCTGTGGGGATGTTGGAAGACATGCAGCCCAGCAGGCAGAAGTCTCACTGTGCTCATCTGTGACGTTGGCTTTAGGTCATAGTGCCTCTATCTTCTGGGGCTTTACCTAACCAAGCAAGTTATTTCAACAAGGACTCATTCCATGATCTACATAGCAAGACCTTACAGCAGCCCTGCTATTGCCGTGCAGGACAGGCATACCTTTGTGTCTGTTGTTCATTTTCTGATTGCCTCTTCCTCCACAGTGGCATTCTGTCAGCCCTTGGAAACCTTCTGGCCCAGATGATTAAGAAGAAGCAGAAAAAAGACGCTCAAAGTCTAGATGTCAGTGGGCTTCTCAGATACGTAGTTTATGGGTAAGTACCACAGAGAGCTGCCTCACCTCTGTAGACCAAGCACAGCAGAGCTGCCTGCCAGCATTAACCCTTTGGAATGCTTTGGTTTAAAAACCTAATTCTGAGGCTGGAGAATGGCTCAGCTAGCAGTGCTGACTGCTCTTATAGAGGACTCAGGTTTGAGTCCCAGCTCCCATGTGGCAGTTCACAACCATCTGTAACTCCAGTTCCTGGAGGTCTGATGGCTTCTGACCTCATAAGGCACCAGACACATATATGGTACACAGATATACCTGCAAGCAAACTATCCATGCACAAGAAATAGAAAACAAAAAATATAATTAAAAAACAAAAAGAAAAAAATATTTCCTTAAGAAGCACAAGAGAGCAGATGTAGTGGTGCATGTCTTTAATTCTACCATTCAGGAGGCAGAGGCAGGTGGATCTCTGTGAGTTTGAGGCTAGCCTGGTCTACATAGTGAGACCTTGTCTCAAACAAAACAACAAAAAAGAAATATCAGAGGCTGGATATGGTGATAAAAACTTTTAGCTTACCCCTTTGGAGGCAGAGGCAGAGACAGTAGTATTGGCCCAAGTTCCAGGCTGGCTTGTGCTATGTACAGAGATCTGCCTTTAAAACAAAATCGTCCCTAAGTTCTTTGGCCACCACTAATGAGATGGCTAGGTGAAGTGATTTAAAAAGAAAAGAAAAAAGGAAGGAAGATGGAAGGTGATGGCACTCACCTTTATTGCCAGCACGTGGGAGGCAGAAGCAGACAAGTCTCTGAGTTTGAGACCATCCTGGTCTACAGAGTAAGTTCTGGGACAGCCAGGACTACACAGATAAACCCTGTCTCCCAAACAAACAAAGAAACAAACTTTGTGTGTGTGTGAGGCATTAGAATTAAACCCATGGCTTTGTAGAGGTTGCCACTGATCTCACATATCTTCATTATTTAGTTGGGTGTAGTAGTGCATGCCTTTAATCTCAGTACTTGGGAAGCCGTACTAGTCTAAATGGTGAGTTTCAGGTCAACCAGAGCTACACAGTGAGACCCTGTCTTAAGCCAAAATAAATAAGTAAATAAATGATCAGAAAGACTATTTCTCTGTGCATGCGCATGCATGTGTAAATAAAAGAGAGTCTGAAACTCTCTCGTATATCCTTTGAACTCTGATGATCCCCTTGCCTCCTGAGTGCTAGGATTATAGATGTGCACCGCCATATCTGGATATCTGGGTTTGTTTTTTTTTTTTTTTTTGCAGTGCTGGGACTCAAACCCAGGATTGTTTATTTATTTGTTTTACATACTTGCAAAGTACTCTTGTATACTTGGGAAGTACTCTACCAACTGAGATTCACTCCTAACCCCACAAAAGCTTCCAAGAGTAATAATTTGGGCCATTTATTAAAATGTTTATAAAGCCACATCCCCCATACTTTGACAAGTAACAAGGTCAGCTAAGGTACCTTAACATCTCTCACATGGTCTTGGCCTCCCAAAGACTTCAGTTGTTTGCCTTACTGTGGCCCACAGTGATGTAAGAAAGTCCAATTGAAAACCTGTTTACAGACTTTGGTTGTTATATTACTGTACTTTGTGAAACTCAGTCTGCTGGCTCATTCCTAGGTGAGCCAAGTGTGGACTACAGATCAGCACTTTAGGGAAGTCAGAGGTAATACCAGCTTTTCTCTTGCCAGTTTCTCCCAAAAGGTTGATGAAAGGGCTGGAGAGATGGCACTGACTGAGTTCAGCTCCCAGCAAACACATGGTGACTCACAATCATCTGAAATGGGATCCAATGCCCTCTTCAGATAGCTACAGTGTACTCATATAAATAAAATAAATCTTAAAAAAAAAAAGTTGATGAAAATCTCCGGGAGTTGAGCTACGTCTGTTTGTTTCTAAGAGCCTGTTAAAGCATGAGGGCACAGATGAGAACAGACAGCATAAGTGCCTGGAACACAGAGGAGTCAGATGTGCATATACTACAGCCAGGGCCATACTTCCCAGCTCACCAAAAAAAGACTTCCTGAAACTTGGTGAAAGAAAGTTGTTTATTTCCCCCCTAGAATATCTTTATAAATAAATCTGTGTGGTCAATAAGTACTTTGGCGGAAGAAAAGAGGGCTTAGGACCTAAGGTGCATCTCGGTGTGAGGACCAGAGACGGAAATGTAGAAAGAACCACAGTGAAGCTCACACCCCTGTGCAGCTCACACCTCTGTGGCATCCAGGTTGTTTGTCACAGGTCCACTGAGTCACTACCTCTACCTCTTCATGGAATACTGTGTCCCTCCTGAGGTTCCCTGGGCCAGAGTCAAGAGGCTCCTGCTGGATCGCCTGTTCTTTGCCCCAACCTTTCTGCTGCTGTTCTTCTTCATCATGAACTTGCTGGAGGTGGGTGTTTGTCCTGGCATGTGCTGTATCTCCAGTTAAAGGTGGGTTGGTAGCCTGCTTCCTAGGGTGGGCCCCAGGGTCTGGACTCCCAGCTTTCTCTTTTCTTCTTCTTCCCTCCTCCCTCCCTACCTTCTTCCCTCCCTCCCTCTCTCCTTCCCTCCCTTCTTCCCTTCTCCCCTCTCCCCCTTCCTCCCTCTGTCCCCTTCCTTCCTTTTTTTCTTTTCTTATAGTTTCTTGAGAATACTGTACGTGTATCTAATGTGTTCACCCCATCCTCACTCTACTTTTCCTTCCCCACCTTCACGTGTTCTTTTTTAAACCTACTGATTTCACTTAGTGCTGCATGTATGTGCGTGGGTATAGGTCTCTCAGGGGTTGCATCTCTGAAAACAAAACAAAACAAAGCAAAACAAAACAAAAGAAAACAAAACAACTCTTTCCTTCCCAGAAGCATCCAGTAGCTCCTCAGCCGAAGGGAAGACTTTACGAACCTATCCCCTATCCATACTGGGGTTTCCTGGCTTGGTCTTGTTTGGGTCTTATGCATGGAGTCCAAGTGTCTATGAGTTGATGTATACAGTAATACTGTCATGTTCAGCAAATGGTGTTTCCCTGTTTTCTCTGTGTGTTTCTGTGTTGGCATGCATGTACTGCAGGATGTATGTAGAGACCAGAGGACAGCCTGCAGGAGTTGGTTCTTTCCGTCCACTATGTGGGTCTCAGGGATTGAACTCAGGTCATCAGGCTGAACCATTATCTGCTGAACCATCTTGCTGGCCCTCCGCTTTTGGTTTTCATGTTTTCCTTGTAAACATGAGCACAAGAGTGTTAATGGAGCCTGTCTGTCCCTAGTAGAGGTTACGAGCCTCATAACCCACATGGTGGTTGTTGTACATGTCTTGGAACTGCCCTTAGGTCTCAGCACCACTTCTGCTGTCCAGGAGGCGTGTATGCTACTCTGCCATAGACTGGCTTCCAAATATTTTCATAACTTTTACTATAGTTTTTTTTTTTTTTTGCTTGTATGTTGTATATACTAATATGATTCTTAAGCCAAGCTTGGTGGCTTAATTGCTATACTCAGGAGGCTGAGAAAGGAAGATTGCCACAAGTTCAAGGTCACCCTGGAGTACAAGGTGAGATCCTGTCTCTAAAACCTAAATAAAGAAAAATATAAAAAGTAAACAAACACATGATTCTGAGAAAGGATGTATATAGGCTTTACCAAAGAGAGTTGTGCTATAAAAACCTTAAGGTTGCCAAATCCCTTACCAAGAGTTTGTAACTATCAAGTGAATATATCTTTGCTTGTTGTTTATTTTTTATACTATTTGTAAGGTCAGATACTTTTATATGCCAGATGCTGTGTATGCCATGAACTTTGCTTCTTTTATATTAGTGGTTTTCACTTTTTCTTCTTTTGTGGAAGGGTACTCTTTGAGACAAGGTTTCATGTAACCCATGTTGGCCTTGAATTTGCTACGTAACCCAGGCTGGCCTTACACCAATCCTCCTGCCTCTACCTCCCAAGTACTGAGAGTACAGATGTGCACAGCTGTGCCGTTTTTTCTTAGACTGACTTACGTATTTGGATAGATTAAGAATAATAGTCCTTTTCACAAATCCAAGTGGCAAATCAGTTTCCCAGGTTTTTAGGTGTTTCAAACTCTCACATAAAGTTAAATGTCTATATAAAGGTAATGTGTAAACTTGTATAAAACAAAAGCTTGTACGTGTGTGTGTGTGTGTGTGTGCCTGTGTGTATGTATGTGTGTTTCCACACAGAAGTTTTGAAACTTTATAATCAACTCTGGTACTCTTTTTTTCTCTTTGGATGTTATGATAGAAAGATAATATAAATATTTTTAATACTTTGTAGTGATTGTGTGGTACATCTTTTTTTTTTCCTAGTCTGCATACGTATGTCTGGGTAGCAGCTTGCTTGGTGCCCATGAAAGTTAGAAGAGGGCATTGGATCCTTTGGAACTGGAGTTGTAGACAGTTGTGAGCCTCCATATTGATGCTGGGAATCCAACTGGGATTCTCTGGTAGAGAGCCAGTGCTTTTAACCACTGGGCCATCTCCTCGGTGACCTGGACCAGCAGGTTATTCTGAACAGGTCCTGAAGTGGGAGGTATGGGGATGTGAAATAAAGAATATAGGAAAATTAGAACCAGGAAGTCCTTCATAAACTGATGGCACATGCAAGTAAATTTATTAAAAATTACAGCATCTTATATACAGGTTTTGGTGGGGACGGGGGAATAGGACACTGTCATAAACAGAGCACATCAGCCTTGGGGCTGATAACCAGAGCCCCTTTAGGTGGGAAGAGTTGGTTTCTCAGGATCTGAAGCTCCCCCAAGGCCCTGACCCCAGGCCATTACTGGTTCTGTTTAGCTTATTCCTGGTTTTAGAGAAAGAACTGTGCTCCTTCTCCATACTTCAGGGCCTCAGGGAAAGCCAGTTGGCCTGGGTCTCAGCATTCTAGCCCTTGTTTGATATATCTTGATAAAAGTCCAAGAAAAGTAATTTATACTTTTCTGTCTTTTGAGTTTTATATTTGTTTACACTGGAAGTAGACCTCTGTTTCCATTTTTCCATTTATATTGCTTATTGTCTCCCACTTACTGTAACCCTCAGTGTTTCCAAATAATTTTATTATGTTCTTACTTCCATAAATACAGGCCATTAGTTAGACTCAGTTCTTTTTCTGGATCTTCAGTTTCATTGCACCTTGATTTGGTTTTTTATTACTTTCACTTTGTTTCCTTTTTTTTTTTTTTTTTTACTATTGCTTACAGATTATTTTAATTACCATAATTTTAGAGTACTAAAAAAAAAACAGCTGTGGCAAGGCAGGTGCTTCTATCCATTTTCAGTGTGGTTACTCTTAATACATTTACTCTTCCAAATAACATTTATTTAGTGTCGTCTCTTAAAAATGGATAAGTTTTGACTGGAAAGTAGTCTTCTTTGACAGTTCATGTCGGAAGCATTGATAACTGAGGCTGGCCACAGCACAAGTCATCACCAGATAGCTATAAGGAGCTCGTGGGAACAGACACCACCCCGGATGAAAGGCAGTGTGCTCCTGAGCTGTTGTCACTGAAGACTGTCCACCTGGATAGTTGGCTCCTTTTAGCTGCAGAGTAATAAATGCAGATGTAGCTTCATATATAATACAGGATTCATTGTCAAGGTCAAGGTGCACAGTTGCTATGGATGGAGGGAAGGACTGCTCACAGCTTCCCTTACCTTCCCTGCAGGGGAAAAACGTCAGTGTCTTTGTTGCCAAGATGAGGAGTGGCTTCTGGCCTGCACTGCAAATGAACTGGAGGATGTGGACACCCTTGCAGTTCATTAACATCAACTATGTGCCCCTGCAGGTGAGGCTTGCTTGTCTCCACTGAAGGCCTTTCTCATTTTTTTTTTTCTAACAAATGGTAGTACTCTCAAGCCATGTTTTCACCTGTCTCTGGAGGTCTAGTCCATCCCTGATCACTGTCCGTGAGCTCTGGATTCAGGGCTGCAAAGTTGCGCAGAGACTCCCAAGCAGCTGTTTCATCCTAGTGTTTTCTAGTAACTGAAACAATCTGGGTTGCTTCCGCATCAGCTGAACAGGCAGATACAACAGTCAAGTACAGTGGAGCAGAGAAATAGGGAAGACCCTGGCATCATGGTGCAGGGTCTTCAAAGGGCTGGCTGGTCAAAGAGAAGACCCCTTGGAGGTATCTGGGAGAATTGCAGTGCTTGCAGGCACAAAGATGCTGCTGAGGAAACTGCCTGCTGAAGGATGAGTGAAGCTGTTAGCTTTGAGCAGTGCAGAGAACAGGAGAGTGGGCAGTACCCAATGGTTCAGTATTGTTCAGTGCAGAACACAGGAGAGTGAGTGCACAGTACCCAATGGTTCAGTGTTGTTCAGTGCAGAGCACAGGAGAGTAAGTGCGCAATACCCAGTGGTTCAGTGTGGTACAGTGCAGAGCACAGGAGAGTGAGCGTGCAGTACCCAGTGGTTCAGTGTGGTACAGTGCAGAGCACAAGAGAGTGGGCAGAACCCAGTGGTTCAGTGTGGTACAGTGCAGAGCACAGGAGAGTGAGTCCGCAGTACCCAGTGGTTCAGTGTGGTACAGTGCAGAGCACAGGAGAGTGAGTGCGCAGTACCCAGTGGTTCAGTGTGGTACAGTGCAGAGCACAGGAGAGTGGGCAGAACCCAGTGGTTCAGTGTGGTACAGATGCTATCACTTGTGTACTGCTTCAGAGGCTATATACTAGCTGTCCTTGTGCCAGGCCCATCCCCTATGTTTCCCTAAGACCTCCCTGCAACTGGAAGGGCGCACAAGTCCCAGTAAGTCTACACAGTGGGTGGCAGGATTCTGCTGAATCCTAAGGGAGAAGAACCATCAGAGATGCAGACTTTTCCTTCTCTAAGGGCATTCTTCCTCTGGCTCTGGGTCTGATTCTGCCCAGGGAACCAGCACAGTTCTTCCAAGAATTGGTATTAGGTACCTCTGCCAAGTTCCAAACCCAGAAGCTATGTCTATACACACTGAAGAACAAAAAGTTGCCAACCAGGGTCATTCTTCTAAACAGGTCTCTCTTGGGTAGCAACCTTAGTCTATTTCAGGAACTTAATCCTCTTCTGTGCTCTGTTAAACATCTTTTCTATAGGGAGCTCACAGACCAGGGGCCCACTGAAGGAGAAACAGAGTAGGGTCAGCATAGGACTCCCACTGGTTAAAAGAAGAGGGAGCTTTGCCAGTGTGCACACACATACAACATATATACTGTAACCATACATGCCTTGTAGACTACACTCTACACAGACCACATTATGCACACATACACACAAGGGGGGGCGAGAATTAATGAATGAGAGAGCACATACACACATCACATACACAGGCCTCACTTTACACCACACAATATAGTACCTATCCATATGCCTCACTTCATAAATATTTACACATGAATTACTTAACAAGCACACACAAAGACCACTCACATTCATATATGCATACATGTATCACATAGACCACAAAGTAGGAAAAAACAAGCAAACATTTAGGATAGAACAAAGGGCTGGTCAACCATAGCAGAAATAGTAGGAATTTAACGTCTCCCCACCCCACATAAAAAAAAAAACAAAACAAAAAAACCCGATGTCCAGCTTGAAGTAACCTTATCAGTGACCTTCCTAAGAGCCAATTGGGATGGATTAGGAACTAAAGCCAGATTGCTTTGACTTGAAGAGTGTGAGGGAAGCACACAAATCATAACTCAAGCCAAGCATGCTGGCCCCTATAATCCATCACTCTGGAGGCAAAGGTAGGGGGACCAGGAATTCCAGGGTGATAGAGAGGTCTTGAGGTCATCCTGGTCTACAAAGTGAGTTCCAGGACACCCAGGAGCTACACAGAGAAATCTTGTCTCCAACCAAACTAACCAACCAACCAACCAACCAACCAAACCCAAAACTATGTTATATACAGATATGGCTGCCTCTGGAATGGGTGGACATTCAGGTTTAAAGAGAGGGTCCCCTAGAGCCATCTTAGGAGGGTGAGTAAATGGGGGCTTCCTGGGTAAGTGCCTAATGCTTAGGCAGGTGCTCTTTCTCTGTGACTTCAGAGAGTTGATATGAATAGTCAAGACTGCTTGGCCTTTCCCCTCTGAGTCTGCGCAGAGAAGCAAGTTAGGTATTTGGAAGAAAATAAACTTCTGGGTTAAGAAAAAAAACCTCTTAAATAATATTAAATAAGAAACCCTCTTAGTTATGGGCCTGGGATAGTTTTGCTCATAGTACTGGAATCTACACTCAAAGAGTCCTAGGGAGACAGGGATGACAGACCTTCGACCCCAAGGCATTCTGGAAAGATACAGAGGGATTGGTGAGATGAGGAATGAAGAGGCTAGAAAACTGCTTCAGAGCAGAGGTGTGAGGTTAGGCTTAAGGTTTTAGTTACAAACAGTTGCACAAGAATGCTTGAGGAACAGGGAAGTTGTGCTTCAAGTATTGTTAGGCACTACTTTGTGCTCCAGTGCCAAAGACTCATAATTAGCAAGATGGGGACAGATTGTTACTGTCACAGAACTGTCTGCCTAGAAGAGAGGGCACCTGACGGAAGGTGCTTTCAGGTGGGTTAAATCTGGATGACTGGAGCAGGCACTGGAGTGGTGGTGGGCTAGGCTGATCCCAAGTCACAGAGAACATTGTTAGGAGAGGGTGATTTATACTCCTACCTCTGCTGAACCCTAACAAACCTTGTTACACACTAAAGGCTCAGGATATTCAATAATGGTAAGGTAAGATAGGTCAGACAGTAAACAATTGAAGGGATAAATTCCATCTTGGATGACTAACGTGTGAGGGATGTGGTCAGGATTCCCACTTGGCTTAATGATTGTTTTCTTGGCAGTTCCGGGTGCTCTTTGCCAACATGGCAGCTCTGTTCTGGTATGCCTACCTGGCTTCTCTGGGGAAGTGATGTCAGATACACCGTATCTGGGGAGACTCAACCACCAGCAGGAGAGAGCAGAATCCATCATTAAGGACACCATCTGACTAAATTATGTGATTTCAAGATGCCTTAAAATTACAGAGAGAGGAAGTGCGTGAGTGTCAGAACCATGTGCTTTAGACAGACAGCACCAGTCTGGGCAGAGTTCATCTTCGCTGTTGCTGTAAACAAGGTAAAGGTTAATAAACAGTGATACGGCTGTGTCCACGATGGTGTGGTTTCTTAGAACAGTTGCTGTTGCTTGGAGAAGAATGCATAGCTGGATCTCTTTGTATTCTTTCATGTCGTGCCAAAATGCATCCACACTTACCATTTAGGTGTACAGTTCGGCAGCAGTAAGTACAATGGTGGCACTTGGTAAACATTACCAGCATCCATTTCTAGGTGTTTTTCATTTTAAAGTAGAACTGTTCCCCATTCTTCCCCCATTCCTGTGTTGTCTTGGGTGTGAGCCTACATACCTCATAGGATCTGTTGATACTATTCTTTTAGGACTGGCTTATTTACCCTGCACAATAACTGCATATTGGTTAATCTTGATCATCAACTTGATAGGATTTAGAATCACCATGGAAACATACCTCTGGGTGTGTCTATGAGGATGTTTCAAAAAGGTTTAACTGGACCTGGAGAACCAGTGGTTGAGAGCACTGGCTGCTCTTTTTTTTTTTTTTTTAATTTATTTACTTCATGTATGTGAGTACACTGTCACTGTCTTTAGACACACTAGAAGAGGACATTGGATTCCCCATTACAGATGGTTGTGAGCCACCATTTGGTTGCTGGGAATTGAACTCAGGACTTCTGGAAGAGCAGTCAGTGTTCTTAACCCATGAGCCATCTCTCCAGCCCTGCACTGGCTGCTCTTGCAGAGGACCCAGGTTTGAGTTTCAGCCCCACATGGCCAATCATAGCCATCTGTAATTCCAGTTTCACAGAATCTGATGCCTTCTTCTGGTCTCCACAGGCACTAGGCACTCATGCACCAGGCACAGATATGTATGCAGGCAAAACACTGATACACATAAAGATAATTTAAGAGAAATAGTTTAACCAAGGAAAGACATTCCACCCCAAATATGAGCAGTGCCATTCCCATGGGTTGCGGTCCCAGACTGAGTGAACAGAAGGAAATGAACAGAGCAGCAGCACTCATCTGCTTGGGATGCCCAGCTTCTCATGTTCCTGCCGCCATGCTGTAAATACTTCCTTTCTTAAGTTCCTTCTCAGGAATTTGGTCATAGGAACGAGGAAAGTAGCTGTGTTTTGCCATCGTTTGAATTTGTGTTGAAAGAGTTAGGGTCTTTATGGAAGTTACTAAATCTGACAAAGAACAGATTAATGCCCTTATAAAAGAGGCTTCGGAGAATTTCCTTCTTGCTCTTCTTCTACATGAGGAGAGCCTTCCTCTCCCAGGCACACATCAACACCGTCTCAGAAACAGACATAAGTTTTTGTTGTGTGTATTATGTAGTCTGTGGTATTTTGTTATATTTAAGATTCATCTGTATTATTGCATGTCAGAATTCCCTTCCTTTTTGAGGCGATACATTCCAAAGTGTGTATATACCACACTGTGTCTGTTCCTCTGTCTGAAGACCTCTGCATCATTTTTAAGAGTTGGTCATTCTGATGCTGGTGTGAACATGGGTGTGTAGACATTGTTCCTACACTAGCCCTCAGCTTAGGACACTGAGGCCAGTCTGGTCTATTCAGCATGCTCCAAGGCATCCAAGGCTACACAGTATGATGGGACCCCATCTCAGAGGAAGGAAAAAGAAACAGAAACAGAAAAGGACACCTAGTTCCAAAAGGACAGACTGTGGAAGACCAACTTATTTAAGGTACCTAGAACACAAATCAGAGGGACCTACATCCCCATGAGACAGGAAAACAGTAAGGAAGCACTGTTAAATAAGGACTACACTGTAATTTTGTTACAGATTTTGTCAGACCTTTATGTACACACCCTATTGATGCTTCCTGTGAAAGATTAAAGCATCTAACAGGTCCTGCTCTGGTGCTTGACTGAGGTCCTGTCTGGAAAGCAGCCTCTTATGGACAACTAGCCACACTGCTCTCTTGGCAGCCAGTTTAGATATTGGGGTCCACTGTGCAGACACCTCTGCAGCCATAGTGGACCATCAAAACCTCCGTTGAAGACTTGCTCCAGTCCTGATCTGTCCAGCCAGCCTCCACTGACATTGGAAAGTAGTATGGGCAAGACAAGCATGGCAGTGAACTCTGATGTCCTTGCAATAATCTCATCCAGGCCAGAGGGGAAGCACTTTCTTGGTAGCTCTGCAGAAAGGCTGTGATTGATGCAAACATGTATTAGGGACCTCCAGGATTAGGGCTAAGACCCTTGCCATACCCCTCTTCTCTTCGTATATAAGCCGACTGAAACTCATTTTTCAGTCAGTCGAAATGCAGCCTCTTTGTCCCTTTTTTGGTATTTCAGGCCTTAAAAGAGTTTTTGTTAAAAAAAAACACCTATATCTCTATATACACATATATACACATACACACACACATATATATACATACACATATATATGTCAGTAGTAGGGTAGGCTGAGCTGGTAACAAAAAGACTGAGGCTAGAGAGAATAGAGAACTGAGGTGAAAGAAGGCTGTGGAAAAAAACAGATACTGTTGCTAAGACTTTTAGAGAGCTGTCAAGCCAAAAGGGCCGTCTTAGCCATTGTCAAAGGCCAAGGGTCCTGAGAATGTCTGAGGTTAGAGGTTTATTCAGGAGTAGTAATATTACCAAATGCCTGCTGCTGTTCACTACTGCTCAAAGCTGAAAATTATAATAGCTGCCGAGTGCTGGGCCTGTTGGTAGTTAAAACCCAAAGCAATAAGCCCAAACCTAGAGCTGTAAGTCACTGGGCCTGCCAGTCTAGTCCCTGGGTCTTGGATTCAACAGGGCCTAGAACGGACAGCACTAGAAGAGCAGCAGTTGGACTCCTTTCTTACACAGAAGGACCTGGTCAGTTGATCAATAACAACTAGAGCAGTAAAACTTGGAGGCAAGTTGGTAGGTGCCAGGGGCTAGGGGTGGGGAATGGAGGGTTGATAGTTGAATGTAGAAAGTTTTTAGGAAAAAAATGGAAAGAATTCTGGAGGTACACCTAAGGATTACAAAAGAAAACACGAAAACTTTAGCTCTAGGGCAAGTGCCAAACCTGAGGTTTTTCAATTCATATAAACCTAATGCCTGATTTCGACCACCTGGAGACTCACACCCACCGAAGGGCCGGCATCTGCGCCTGCTACCCAGAGACGGCCGGCAGGTGGCACCCCGGGCCGCGTTTCCTGCTTTGTCTCGGGGAAAGGGGTGGAACTTATACCAGCCGGAAGCGGAAGCATGTCCCTGGCGTCCCGCCGTCGGGTCGTGCGGTGTGCGGCATGGCTTTCCGGCAGGCGCTTCAGCTGGCGGCCTGTGGTCTGGCTGGTGGCTCGGCCGCTGTTCTCTTCTCGGCGGTAGCGGTAGGGAAGCCGCGAGGTGGCGGGGATGCAGACACGCGCACGACCGAGCCGCCGGCCTGGACAGAAGCGCGCCCCGGACGCGGCGTCTGGGACTCCAACTGGGACAGGTGCGGGGACGGGAGGGCGGGGCTCAGGCCTGCTTCCTCACATCCATCACCGTTTGGCGGATTTCGGTGCCCCGAAGGGAACGGTGTGTACTAGTGGGTCTTGAGTTTGTGTGAATCAGGGCGGCCGGCCCTTTGAGAGTCCCCGTACCAGGATGGCGCATCATCCAAGGGTCTTCGTGCCTGGACCATCCATCTCTCTAAGGGACCTATACCCTCCCGGACCCCATCCTCAAAGTGTCCTTGTTCAGAGACAGTCCATCCGAAGGCCTTTGTCCCAGGACCATTATCCTCTGTGGGCCTGAAATTCTAAAGGATTAAATTTTACTTATAGCCAGGGTCTTGCTATATATAGCCAGGTTTGCCTCACAAATTCTCCTGCTGCAGCTTGGGGAAAATTGGGACCACAAGCATGCTATTCCTTCAGAGGTCAGAGAACCTGTGTTTGAAGGAGAACCAAGGGTTAGGTTACCCATAGGTATAGTGGCATACGGCTTTAATCCAAGCACCGAGAGTCAGAGGCAGGCAGATCTCTGAATTCTGGGCTATATAGAAACACCTTGTCTCAAAAAAAGAAAAATGGAGTTACCTGAGTTTTGGTTTTTTTTTTCTTTTTGGTTTTTCGAGACAGGGTTTCTCTGTATAGTACTGGCTGTCCTGGAACTCACTCTGTAGACCAGGCTGGCCTCGAACTCAGAAATCCGCCTGTCTCTGCCTCCCAAGTGCTAGGATTAAAGGCGTGCGCCACCACTGCCCGGCGAGTTACCTGATTTTAAATGTTTCCTATTTGCTTGCCACGTCTGCATCTGTGGATGGACCGGTACAGTGACAGGATCTTTGTTAGGTGGGGGAGGATGCATGACAGAAGGATAAACAAGTGCAGGAAGGGTCTAAAACTGGCATATCCACTTGGTTTCTTTCTGGTGTGACTTCCTTTCTGACAGTCGTCTCCAAATTTTGTCTGCCCCCCTCACACACACACACATTCCTGTATCTGCAACAAGGCTTTGGCTTGGTCGTGTGTGGGACTAACACCCTAGGTTAGCCTGCTCAGATAATGCTAGAGCCACCACCACACTCTCCAGACCTTCCTTTTCCACCATTGTTGTAATTTGGGCAGGTTTGGCTTGTCCTGTTCCTGTCTCCTACATTTGAGTAGCTTCAGTTTCTTCAGCTTCTACATCCAGTCCAATAACTACATAGTCCTCAACGTTGTGATGGTCACTACCCCAGTGACTGCTGAACACTTAAAGTATGTCTAGTGTGACTTAGAGAAGAACTCTATTTAATTTTAACTTAATTATAGTAATCCCTGTGTATGCTGGGGGATTGGTTCCAGGATCTCTGAACATATCAAACTCTGGATGTTCAAGATGACGAAGTATTTGCAGATAACCTAGACATCTAGCTTACCCTCCTGTATACTTTAAATCATTCCTAGATTATCACACTCAATACAATAAAATTGTTACCGCAATAGTTGTTAAATTATATAGCTTGAGGTAAAATTCACATACAAAAAGGCCTGTTTAGTTCAGATGCAAACTTTTGAGTATTTTTGATGCCTGGTTGATTGAATATTAAGTGTGGAATATTTAGCTACAAAAGACC